AAACTGCTTCCCACTCAGCTCTAATACACGAGAACACCATCAGTTTGGTTAATCTGAATCCTATATTCTTGCAGGAAACATCACAAAGAATGCACACATTTAGCCAACGTTACTACTCCTGCAGTACAATGGCATTCTTACTGTTCTATAAATCTTGGCACTGGGGTCAAGTGCATCTATGGCAGACTGACGACCTGCTGAAAAGTCTGTTAAGTACCATTTTACTATTGGTCTTCCTGACTACTTGCCTCAGTCACACTGGCACAGAGTTTGTGGATTCTCTTACTTTAGGTGGAAGTGGGAGGCAGTCCAGAACAATCTATCCTGGTCAATGAGAAAAAGGGGAAGGTCTGCTGACTCTCCAGAACTCTCCTGGCAGGCTTCCACATTTTAAGATGGTTTCTACCTACTAGAGGAACAGTCATGGACTCAGACATTAGTCGGGCAGGGGGTGGGGAAAGAAAGAAAGAGAGAAAGAGAAAGAACTCGAATGGCTGACATTAGCTTTATTCCTCCAATGCGAGTTTTGTACCCTTCTAACGCACTCATTAAATTAGTACTTGTGTTATACAACCAGCAGTAAGAATCTGAGACACCTAATTGAAATTTATAAGCCCATGATCATTTGGAGGGGAAAAGCCTTACAATCCCACTCTCAAAAGAGTTTTAAAAATAAAGAACTGCTTCAGAACACTCTTCCCACAGGCAGCACTAAGGCTGTAGTCTAGTTTGTAGATCCTGGTGAAGATACGCATCAATGGCCAGTCAACTCTGAACATCTCTTCAGGTGAGGGTATTTGTCAATAGAGAGCATTGCTCCTATAGACTTTTGAGAACCGGTCTGCCAATTTTGGGGTAGACTTTTCTAATATCACATCTTAGCCATTTAGAAATGGTTATTTTGAAGATTTTTTTATTCCTGTATTTGGAGTGGAAGCTCTGCAGATTTATAGATCTCTAGTCAAGCTGATAATTCATCTGAGATCCAGTTTGTGCTGAATTCCTCCTTATGCTTCAGATTCAGAGGGAAAGATGATTTTCTTAACATCACAGAATTCACAACAGCAATTATTGAAAGCAAAAGTTGACAGGATCACCTTGTCCTTGTGAAGTATACAGGATGCTTCTTTATCTGGGTAGTTTGAATACCTACAGAGGTAATGGAAACCAAGAAAGCTACTTCAATGGACCACAAGTAGATGGATAAGATAACATGGAGTTTGAGAGTTTAAGACCCAGATAAGTTCCACATAGGCCAATGTTTGTATAAAGTGGCTTTATTTTGACTCTGATGAATCATGCTATGCAAGAAAGCTAGTGGAGTCTTACTGCCAGCTCCTAGAATGCTAGATATGGTAAAGATCCAAGTGATGGCTTGTCTATGGGATCAGACTGTTTAGTAAGAATGAAGGAATGTCTTTAGTTCTTCTTGGTGTCATCACACAGTCCATTAGCTCCAAACATTGAGTCTGAGCCAGAAATGAGCAGAAGCCTTCTAAGACTGTTCCTTTTGAGACGATGGTATAACATATACATTAGATAAAATCTCTTGTTATGCTACATTCAAGAGCCATACTTCAAAATTCAGGAAGGTGGGTTCCAGATGGAAGATCTGGGTAACCAGTAGATGAAACGAACATATGGTTATCATCTCCATTTGTTCAAACTATCAGGGCCTCATTAACCAACTGGTTACGAGCAGGATGACAAGTAATTTTTCTCTTTTTACACTGTTCTGTTCAGTAAAAGTATGGGGAGAGCAGAAGTAACTTGGAAGAGAGCTTCCATGCCTAGAACTATTGAGTGTGTCCTTCAAGACATTTGTTTTACTTGTGATTTGGCTGTGAAGCAAACAGGAACACTTAAGGCTGGCTTAATCTCAGATACAATATGGAAGTACTGGTTGCTCATTCTCCATTCTGACGACTGGACAATTTGACAATTCAGCCAGGCTGGATTTTCAGGTATGTAGGGCTAAATGAAGGCTAGGATTCTCTCCTCCCATTCCATACTGTGAAATGTCTCACAGCAGTTCAGAGCTTCTGATCCCTCCCGGGCACCTGATGCAGACAAAGGTGGTCACTTATCACCTTAAAGTACTGACCCTGCCGGAGGTCTGAGAAGCTAAGAATGTGAACTTCACTGATAGCCTGAGAAGACTTTTTTTTTTAAAATAGCCTTTTCCACACTGTGGATGACCAAATGCCCTGAGGGTTGTGTGGGAGCCCAAGGTGAACCCCCCCCACACCTGAGAAACAACTAGTCCCTATTATTTTCTGACTTCTTGCAGATAGGACAGCTGCATAGTGCCTGTCAGGGAGCGCTTGATGAAAGATCACCACAGGAAAAAATTGGAAGTCCAATGGGAAACAGGCTCTTCCTTTTTATGGCAGAGAAGCAAGTGGACTCAACTTTGCAGCAGAAATCTTTGCAACAACCTCTTGTGGAGTCTAACCAAAGATGTCACATCTATGCATGAGAGCATTGTGTTTAACAGCCTGAGGCAGTCTCAGTGACACTAATTATTTTTATAACAAGAAAGTTTAATTTCAGAGGATTACAATTTCAAATAAGGAACAAAGAGCAGGCCAGGAATAAAGATCCACTTTGCAAGTCAGTGTCAGACTAAAAATAGACAATATAAAAGATAGACACTTAGGCAAGATGTGCATCTAAAAGTTTTTGCCATTTTCCAAGAGATGTCAATAGGCTCTTGAATTTTTCAATATTTTCTGATGCGTGTAAGTGAACTGTACAAAGATTCATAAACTGTGGATTGACCATAAATAACTGTTTCACAGAGTCTGGCATGCCCACAATTACAGGAAGACAAAAAGCAGAAAGATAACAGATGGGGCAGGTAAGGAAATACAATATTAGTAGAAACCCAAGGGAAGCTAGGAAGACTAGAGCCTTCACCTATACTACATAAGTAGATATTTTAAACACTATTGTGAAACAAGCTTTCAACTCAGCCATGTTATAAGACTTCTCCCCCTTCCCCCATTTGCCTGTGTGTACAGAAAAAAAGTTAGTTGTGGTTGGGCCAGAAACTTGTTCCAACAATTATTTTGTAGCTTAGATATGACTGTAATTAAAAACACTGGCCCCAGACACTGAGTTTTCTAGTACCCAGTAGCAATAGAGACTGACTAGTTGGACAATATTTGTGAACTTACTAAATGGCTAGGGAAAAAGAAACTTGCCACAAGTATTTTTTCCCCCTTAGGTATGTCCAAACAATTTAGAAGCTTGAAATTCAGCCTAGTGATAAATCAAAATCATGTTTCTGTATTTTAAGTTGGGGCTTTGTATTTTGAGAGCTTTGCTAATTACATATGGCTGAATGTGGTGTTTTTAAACAAAAACTGTTACAAATCCGTATTGTATAGAATGCTAATGTTTTGAAATACCAGACATTTGGAGATTAAAAATAGAAGTATCTTTTGAACCTTAAATACTCTCCTCCTGCTATTTTTTTAAATAGAGATTAAAATAGAGAAATGATTAAAAAAACCATCCACCCATCAGAGCCTGTCCATTCTAAATTTGTGTAGCGACGGCACTATATTACTAGATAAGGGACATTTATTCTAGGTCCAATTTTAGGGTCTTAGACGCTATTGAAAATCCAACCCTTTAATTTCTGGGAAAATAGTTATTCTTTGGGCTGCTCTATAATCTACTTAATTCCGAGTTCCCTTGTTCTTAAAACAAACATGGTTTCAGAGTTGGAAGAATGGAAGTTACATCTTACCTTTATTGTAGATTGTGGGGTATGAGCTGCATTCTGATCCGGACTTGTTTTGTCTCCCGTGTAATGTGCTGCTGCTCCCAGATCAATGGTTTTGGAAGGATTTGCTGTGCGTTTGTGTCTGGTGGTGGTGGTCTCTGTGGCCTGTGTTATATGAATATGTTTGGTCGTCACCGTCTCCTCTTCATCTTTGAATTCACCTTTGGAGGATTTACCTCTTCTTGCTTTCTTTTCCTCATCACTATCACTAGAAGAGCAATGAAGAATGAAACAAAACTGATAGTAATCAGTACAAATATGATCCAATTCCTCCTCACCAAGATCCAAAGCCCACTGAAATCAATGGAGTCTTTTCATCTACTTCAATGGACGCTGAACTCTGGCCTAAGAATTTTGACAAGAGTGTTGATTTGTATTAACAAAAGACTGTGTAGACAGCGACTTAGGGAAAGGAGTACACAGCTTTAATATTTGAGAAATTAATACTTTACACTTATGTGGCACTTTACAAAAGTGGGGGTAGCATTATCCCAATTTTTCAGAGACTTTTCTGTGCATGTGTGGGGTTTAAAGGTCTTGGTTAGATACAGCTGTCTGGCCTGTTATAATTAGGGATATTTAGAAAAAGAGTGAAGTTGGTAGGCCTATTCAACACTTGCCCCAAGAGGTTATTCACTGGTCGAAATGAAGCAGCGCATCAAGAAAGGGTGCTGGCCTTAAGATGTCAAGCATACCAACTCCACTTCCAGCCCATATCCCATTTGAGATCTATGGGCTTTTATTTTCTTTCAAGTATTTGTGAAAAATGGTTACCCAGCTTTAATAAGATTGTTTCCCAGTATTATACAAAACTGTTCTAAATTTCCCAGCTCAGAAAACACATTTATTCGAACACCTCAAAGCACGTGTCTGTTTTAGTTGAAATCTTTTATGTACCACAGTGTAATGTATGTTTAGTCTGACTATTAAATTCTCCATTCTTACTTTGCTTGTGACCCAAAAAGGTGTAAAATATCATTCATTTTTGCAACAGGCACATTGCATTTTATCATTAGGGCAACAGAATTGTACATAACAATGAAAAATGCTGGAGAGAAAGCTTAAATATATTGAAAAACTATTTTGAAATAGCAATTCCCTTCTGGGTACATAATTAAAAGTGGAAGGTTTTTATATTTTAATAATGCACAAGAGTACTAACATCTCTAATTGAACAAAGACTGTCCTTTTGTCAGTGGGGATACAGGAGCGGCGCCAGGGTTTTTGACGCCCTAGGCGGCAGCGCCCCTCCTCAGAGCATTTGGCAGTGGGGGTCCTTCCACTCCATGTCTTCAGGGCGCTTCAGCGGTGGGTCCTGGAGTGAGTGAAGGACGCGCTGCTGAATTTCCACCGAAGACCCGGAGCGGAGGGACACCCCGCCGCCGAATTTCCGCCAAGGACGGCAAAATGCCACCCCCCCAAATCCTGCCGCCCTAGGGTCGCATAGTGGAAGCGCCAGCCCTCTGGGGATAGGACAACCACAATATACTCTAAAGGGTAGCCTTTGTTCTCTGCTGAGAATAGTGGGGAGTTTGGCATACTTCATATACATAGAGGAAATGGGACACATACAATCTAGTTGCCACTGGAAGTGCTTCCAAAGACTAACAGCATTAGCTTTAGCCAGACATACAAGCACGTGTGGTGAAAGACTGCACACAGCTCTGCCAGTGCACCTAGTCCCCGACTTGTAGCAACTCTCAGCTGTTCCAGCTCTTGGCCCTCTGAGCCTACAGTACTATTAGCACCATGCACAAGTGAGGGAATAGAAGGAGACCACTACATTCATTTTCAGTTGTAATATCAGGATTTTAATCCAAGTCTCCAAAGATGACTGGCAAGCTCACTAATGCAATGCATCATTTAGTCACCCCTCCTGGCTTAGAGTGTAAGCTCCTTTGGGGCAGGTTCTTTCCATTGTGTGTTCATGCAGTGCTTAGCACAACAGGTCTCCGACCCTGATTGGGACCTTTAGGTACTACTGCAATACAATTACTATTGTTAATTGTTAACCACATCAGTGCAGCCCCAAGTGTGCATGTGTTGTGGGGAACTTGAGGGAGAGGAGAGGTTATCAAGTGCAGGTGTTGTCACATGCACCGATGAAATGTGGACTTCAGATGCATGCCCATATTACACTATAGCATAAGTTTCAGAGGAACGTAGTAAGGTTAATCTCACTTGCTCAAGAGTAAGACACACATGACCCTTTAGTGATCTACACCATCTTAACTGTTGCACTACCAGAAATTCTAGCTCTACAAAAACAAAGAGGGTTTGAGTGGTCAACTGACCTCCAAAATCCACAGCATTAGAGAAGCAATGTTTAGGTGGATGCATGTGTTATATCTGAACGTTTTCCAGAGAGGTTAAATGTATATACACTGAAATGTAGGACATAAAATATTACAGTGCCCAATTTTCTATAATAAACTGTACTGCTTCAAACTGAATGTCTCAGGAGATTTGTTTTGATTTTTCTTTGATGGTCACATTAACAGCAATGAAACATTATAGATGAACGTTCACTTTAAGTGTGTTTACTATGTACGGAATAAATCCCTATAAAATCGTACCGCTTCATGTGAGAACTGCATAGTGAATGTTAAGAAGTTTCATCTAGTATCATATTGAATCATTAAAGATAAGGTCCTATGAGCGATGCATGTTCACGTAACAGCCAGGAGCTGAACTCTAGCCTGTGGTCTCTTCCTTTGCTTTAGATTCTCCTCCCCATCCGAAGGAGTGAAAATGGTTTACTGTCTCTTTGATTCGGGGGGAGACAGTTTGAGGCAGAATGTCTAAACCTAATCAGCCCACAAAGAAGGATTACCACTCTTTAAACCAAGGTCACCTTTAGCAAAGATGACACTTATGGTTTTATAGGAGACCAACACCACATTTTGTTTTCCTTTGCCATCTGCTGCCTACCCTAGCTTCTTAAAAGGTGGAGAGAAATAAATTTGGACAGAGTTCAAGAATTCCTGTTTGGTATTAAAAAACTGTTTTACAGATGCATTAAGGTACCTGCAGACAATTTGGAAAATACTGCTTCTGTACATAAGGATGGGATCAGCATTAATGGAGTGCAAAGCAAGGAGGATACTGGGGTCAAGCTTGGATCATTAGTGTAAGATTAGCGGGAATCCCAACAAACAAAGGAAAACCAGAGGCTTTTAGCGACTGCTTTCTGAATTGTCTTCTCTTCTACTATTTCAGTTCCAATGAGCCAGCCATACTGATAAGTTGGGAAAGGCAAAATCTAGATGAGTTAATGTACCCTTGGAAGACCTCTGCATACCCATGAGTATGTGTACCCCTGGTTGAGAACCACTGATTTAGGTTATTTCCATGAACCCAGAAGGGAAGGATACAAACTCCATATCTACTGCACACATTCTTCAAAGTATCATTTTGTGCAGTGTTGGATTTTTGATTTTTAAGCCACACATGATCACTAAAATCCAATTTCTTGCTATCACCGATGCTTAGATATTAAATATTTATGTAGAACTTGCACCTGCAGTATTCAATTAGTGGGTTATGAAACGGGAAATGATAAAAATAGGTACAACAGTTCTAGGAGTATAAAGAACGATCAATAGGATTTTTATTGGGTTTTAATTACACATTACATCATGAGATTCCTATGACAATATGGACCTGGCCTGAGGACTTTGCTCCTCCTACAGACAAAACTTCCATATGTTTCAATTCCCAATGCACACGTAATGGCTTCTAGACTAGGCGCCACATGTGTGCTGTTGAGGCAAAAAGATGCTTTTGGACTGCTTTTTGTGCGGTACTAGAGACACGGCATATTGGCAGAAGTCTGGATTATTTTGCATTGTGGGACTCAGCAGTGCAACCTTAACTACCACTTGGAAGAGCATTTTTGCTGGTGTATGTTGCATAATTTCCCCTTTTAACTCCTTGTTTAAAATTGATGTTATTACTTAATAGTACCAAACGCTTTTATGGCACTTTATAGAATCAAAGACATTGTCCCTGGGCTGACATTTCTGGTAAAAGATGAAAGGAAAGAGAAAGGATAACAACCAAAGATGCAAGATGTAATAACTATGAGGTGTGAAAGAGCAAATGATTAAGTTAGAAAACTGGTTAGTGCAGAAGATTAAAAACACGGGAGTAGAGCAGAAATGAGCAGTTGAAAGCTAGCTAAAGAAGAGGGCTTTGGAGAGGGATTAGAAGGTGAGAGAGATGCTTGCTTGGCACACTAGGAGATAAGGATCCATCCAGGTGATAAGCAGTAGCGGGAGGAAGAACCGTAGTAGCACAAGACAACACGAGGGGAATATCAAGGTAAATATTTGTTCATTTTCTATTTGAAATATAGCTAAGGATCTTTATGGATGTTCTCATGTGCAAAATGGCTTTTGAAAGATAAGGACAAAACTCAAATCAATGTACCATTATTGTTACATCTCAAGTTGTTTGTTTCTTCTGATTCTCTCTCTTTGTAGTCTATTGATGATAAATTCTAAGAGGGAACGCTGATGTGTGCATAGAGTACCAGTTTTTGATTTATTCATGTCCTAGGGGGAAGGCCATATTGCCCTGTCCTGAAAAGTGCCACCATTAGTATTACTTTCACTTCCCTGCTGGACTACTTGGTATTAAAAACACTTATACATAGGGTTGTGAAAAACCACTAATACACGTAAATGCAAGATGTATTAGAATTCCTACAATTTTAGAACATTTACCCAAAAGGAAATTATTTAAATGAGCATTTTCTCTGTAGCAATTTCAGATTGTTAAGAATGGGTTTGATCTCCCAATAATAAAATTTAATACATCTGTTGAAGCGTGGTGCGTTTAGAGTTCATACTGCAGGCAAAAACACCTCCGTTTTATTTTCTGACTGCAGAGGATTTACAGGCCAGGTGAACAAACATCTGTCATATTTTACAAAAGGGTTAGTTGAAAATGAAACTATTTGTTTCAAGTACACGAGTAAGTGGTCCAAATTCTCTGTTCTTCTTGAGATCTGCTCAATATAGAAACCCAGTGAAAAAAAATGAAAATAGGAGGTGGAGGGTGGAGCTAAAGTGGCTGTAAGCAATTTCTGTATCTTGTCTTATTCTTGGGTCATTTGGGAGTTTGCCGGGACTCGTCTATAAAATAGAGCAGCTTCAAGGCTGCTGCAGTGGGTCCAGGAGGCCACTGCAATAGCCGAGAATTACTAGAGCTCAGTGCACTTTGGCCAGACTCCCCCTGGACAAGCAGTTGCAAGGCCAGCAGAGGTGGCTCCAGGCACCAGCGCAGCAAGCGCGTGCCTGGGGCGGCGTGCCAGTCGCCGTGAGGGCAGGTCAGGCCGCCTTCGGCGGCATGCCTGCAAGAGGTCCGCCGGTCCCGCGGCTTTGGTGGCAATTCGTCAGCGGGTACGCTGAAGGCGCGGGACCAGCAGATCACCTGCAGAAACACCGCCGAATCCGCATGACCAGCAGACCGCCTGCAGGCGTGCCGCCGAAGGTTGTCTGACTGCCGTGCTTGAGGCTGCAAAAAACAGAGCTGCCCCTGAAGGCCAGGGCACTTATGCTGACTCTAGACCACCCAAAGAGCCTCCTTATTCTCTGGGGTTGGGGATGACAGCTACATGGCCCCCCTTGAACCAACAGAGCAGGGTAAGGGGGGGAGGTGTCACACAACAGACTGGCCCAAAATAGTATTTCTATTAAGAGGCAAAATAATGCAGACACCTAATAAGCCTTACAATTATAGTGACTATTCAGAATAGAGACAGCTGTTTTAACATAGTAGAAGTACCTGCATCTTTCAGGAGAGTCCTCTCTATCTTTCCTCCGGAACTTGCTGATGGTATCATCAATTGTGCTTCCAATTTTGTCACTCAGTTCACCTAGTTTATCGCTGAATGGAAAAGCGCCCTTGTTTTTATCCCATTCTTCATCCCATTTTGACTTGGGCTCAGAATCGTATCTTTCACCTATACAATTTGTGAAGAAATAACACTGATGATAAACACAAGAAAAAGCCTGTAGTCTTTTTGGAGTTGTCCCCCATGACCCCCACAAAAACTGTTACCTTATGAGTTTTCAAAGCAAACTGAAAGCTCCCACAGTGCTGAATCAACACTATTACAGCAAGGCACAGCATGGAATGCCAATCATTAAGTGGCAGGAATGCAGATTCAAAAGCTTTTGTTTATGACAACTACACAATCGTAATGCACTGCACAGCACAGCACATCAGGATACTGTTAAACCCTGCTGGAGGAGCAGCATAAGAGAATCAACTCAGGCTGTATAAGCAACTTATCAGAATTGGAACATGCCATTTTTATAATGGTCACTTAATGTGTAATATTGCATTCCTGGCCAAGCTGCCACACTAAGTGGTAAATCTTTCAAAGATTTTATACATTTTAAAAGCTCATGAATACACAGAGGCACAGTACCAAACACCAAAACAGACTAGTGTGAAAACATATGATAATATTTCTAGCATCTATTCCAGTTAAAAAACCCTCAAACAACAAGGTTTAGAAACCATTAAGGAAAGTACAGCAACTTACCTTCTCAGCAGCCAGTCAATGCTTTCATTTCTCAACACTACAGTGCCATCAAGAATTAACAACAAAATAAATTTGCTTCTGAATGTTGAGAATCAAGAACTGCAACTAGCTGCTGGTTAGTTTAGAAAAGAGATTATACCTTTTCTTCAATTACCTGCAAATATTTCATGTACACATCTAAACTGAGATTTAGTAAAGTTAATCTTTTTAAAAAAGAATTTCAAAGATATTTTCACTAAAACTTCCCCTTGCATTGTTGGAATCTGAAACAATACGATGACTGCACTAAGTTTGAAAATTTTAGCAACCCAATCAGTGGCTTGATTTTCAACAGGCAGGTAATTTGGATCCTGGAAATGTTAAGCCACTTATGGGGTGCCTAAATCTGTATTCAGGTGCTTAAATTTAAGCACCAAACATTTGAACATGTTGGTCATAGTGCATGAAAATTAGAAAGGGGACATTGACCAGCCTACTTTTATTGCCTTACCTGAGTGAAATGGAACTAGCAAGCAGACAGCAAAAATGGTAAATTAGTTAAATTATTTGGGAACTCATAAGAAACTTGTAAGATACTTAAAAAAATACAAGGGTCATGCTCAATTAAAACAGTTTTAAATCCACACACAATGAATAAGTTACAGGAATATGAAAAGGTCCAATTGAATCCGAGTTATGCCTCTCTCCAACCTGAATTACACATTCAAAAATAAAAATCTTAATCTCTGAAAAAGAAAATGTGAACATCAAAATGACTCCCTTTGTTAGTTTTTTGTACAATACAGAATCCGGACAAGTACAGATATGCTTTCTGATCAAATGGCTCAATGTTAGTATCCAGCTGCCTGTAGCCTTTTCTCCATCTTGTATGTACCAAGACTATATTGAAAGAGTTTGTTGTAAGTGTCTACCAAACCAGGTAATCAATAGTGCTCTCCATCACAGGAAGAGCATAAGAATGGCCATACTGGGTCAGACCAAAGGTCCATCTAGCCCAGTATCCTGTCTACCGACAATGGCCAATGCCAGGTGCCCCAGAGGGAGTGAACCTAACAGGTAATGATCAAGTGATCTCTCTCCTGCCATCCATCTCCACCCTCTGACAAACAGAGGCTAGGGACACCATTCCTTACCCATCCTGGCTAATAGCCATTAATGGACTTAACCTCCATGAATTTATTCAGTTCTCTTTTAAACCCCATTATAGTCCTAGCCTTCACAACCTCCTCAGGCAAGGAGTTCCACACGTTGACTGTGCGCTGTGTGAAGAAGAACTTCCTTTTATTTGTTTTAAATCTGCTGCCCATTAATTTCATTTGGTGGCCCCTAGTTCTTGTATTATGGGAATAAGTAAATAACTTTTCCTTATCTACTTTCTCCACATCACTCATTTTATATACCTCTATCAAATCCCCCCCTTAGTCTCCTCTTTTCCAAGCTGAAAAGTCCTAGTCTCTTCAATCTCTCCTCATATGGGACCTGTTCCAAACCCCTAATCATTTTAGTTGCCCTTCTCTGAACCTTTTCTAGTGCCAGTATATCTTTTTTG